TTAATTGAATATTGTATGAAAGAATACATGCAGTCATATATCAATTAAAAAATAAATAAAATATTTTATGCAGTTTGTTTTTTTTCATAAAACTTTTTTTTTTCAAAACACTAATTTAAAGAATCAGATTTTTAATTCAATTACAAAAAACAACTAAGTTTATTTTGATTGGATAATTTGCCAGGCACTACAATGGGTAGCATTGTTTTGCAGAAGAGTGCGCATGCAGTATATTTTTCGCAAATGCTAACTGGTCATTTGATTTCAAAAAGAAAAAAAATCAATACGTAACTCTGTCAACATGTCTTTTGTCATAATTACTGGATTGTTAATTCAGAATCATATAAAAGAGAACAATTGTACATTAAGAAAATTTGATTTAATTAAAATCCATCCAGATTTTAATTAATTCAATTTGAATTAAATAAAATCCATCCAACTTTTGTTTCAAAACACGAAATTAAGAAAAATTAAAGTTTGCAGTGTAAATGCATTGCAATTAAGTGTCGTCAAATTCTTATAAAGAAAAGATATATATTCATTCTCTTACAAATAAAATAAAACCCTTATCAGTCAAAGAGAATTGATCATTTCTTCCGGATGTTATGCGCATATCCAAACTAGTCCTTCGATAAAATATTATCAATGCATAACTTTGTCGAAAAATTCCTCCGACATAATTCTTTCGATATAATTACTGGATTGTTAATTGAGATTTATATGAAAGAGTACAGTCATATATTAGTAGAATGTGAATAAAATAGTTCATTCAGTCTGTTTCTTTTTCTTTTTTAACTTTTTTTTTCAAAACACTAAAGAAAAAAAATGTGTTTAATCATATTTTTAATTTAATTACAACAAACTTACTAAGTTTATTTTGATTGGATGATTTGCCTAGGCACTACAATGTGTTGCACTGTATTGCAGCAGAGTGCACTATGGTGCAGTAGGTTATGTCTTGTATTTTAACAAGCACAATTAATTAATGTCTATTAGAAACATACCCCACCATCCACCCTCCAAAGTCACCCTTTATATACAATTTCCTCTTGCGGCTGAAAGTTTGTTGCAAAATTTGCATAGTGTCAGTTTCTTACAAAGTTCGATAATCAAATTATGCCCCTTTGAACAACGTAGACAAGACGATTATGCAAATGTTTAGGCAATATTAACCGATAACATGCTTGTATACTATATAAGACAAGAGAGTCACTCTCACATGTTAAGTTTGGTCTTGCATGTGTACACAGTGTGAGTTTCTCTCACAAAACAAGTACTGCTAGATGGCCAAGTATGTAGTACTGAAAGCTCCCTTGATTGTTCTACATTTGGCGCTTTGTTTGATCGAGTCTCAAGATGTTCATTCGTCAGGCAGACAGGAAAATTCCTATTTATTTCTATGTTTAACTTAATAAAGATAGACCAAATATGTCTTAAGTAGACAGTATATGTTAAGCAATTACAATGGGATGCATTGCAACACTGATATTTTTTAATTTAAGATCATCCAGACTGTCCCTAACTTTTTGAAAAACAAAGAAAAATAAAAACCGAAGAGATTTTGTTTCAACTTTATCTTCAATAAAAAAAATCATGTAAAACAAAATTGGACTGATGAATTTTTGATTGACATATATGTAATAAAAATACATAAAGACAGCCATAAATTGTTATTTTATTCCTTTTGACAGATGTTAATTTAGTTGCAGATCTGTAGCGTTATGGTTTTAAATAATTGTCTTTGACCATTGAACGCTACAGATCCCGTAATGCAAAAAAGGTGCAATTTAGGGTGCAATATTTTTTGCGCACTTTTGGGGAGAATTTCTGATTGGATAATTTGCCAGGCACTACAATGGGTAGCATTGTTTTGCAGAAGAATGCGCATGCAGTATATTTTTCGCAAACGCTAACTGGTCATTTGATTTCAAAAAGAAAAAAAATCAATACGTAACTCTGTCAACATGTCTTTTGTCATAATTACTGGATTGTTAATTCAGAATCATATAAAAGAGAACAATTGTACATTAAGAAAATTTGATTTAATTAAAATCCATCCAGATTTTAATTAATTCAATTTGAATTAAATAAAATCCATCCAACTTTTGTTTCAAAACACGAAATTAAGAAAAATTAAAGTTTGCAGTGTAAATGCATTGCAATTAAGTGTCGTCAAATTCTTATAAAGAAAAGATATATATTTATTCTCTCACAAATAAAATAAAACCCTTATCAGTCAAAGAGGATTGATCATTTCTTCAGGATGTTATGCGCATATCCAAACTAGTCCTTCGATAAAATATTATCAATGCGTAACTTTGTCGAAAAAGTCCTCCGACATAATTCTTTCGATATAATTACTGGATTGTTAATTGAGATTTATATGAGAGTACAGTCATATATATTAGTAGAATGTGAATAAAATAGTTCATTTAGTCTGTTTCTTTTTTTTTTTTTTTTTAACTTTTTTTTATTCAAAACACTAAAGAAAAAAAAGTGTTTAAGGATAAATAACACAAACTTTTTTCAGAAATCAGCATTATTTTTAATAGATTTACATTTAAATTCGTAACCCGAATAATGTTTTCCAAGTAAAGTGGAAGAATTATATAAGATTTTGTCATCAGGTTAAAATATTGTGTAAAATTTTGTATGGAATTATATAGAAAGCAAAACAAAATATCATATCTAAGCACCAAGGGAAACCTACGATTTCTTCATAATTCAGGGATTTATTATTTATGTCATTTCAAATCAAAATCAGTCAAGAAAAGTATATCAACCCGTGCATCCATTTTTTTGTTTGTGGTAAGTACCCTTAAGGGGACGACCATTTGATTCTGAGGGGGGGGGGGGGGGGGGGCTGGCAAAATTTTTTGAGACGGATTATTTATTTTCATGCCTGTCAAGGACAGATTATTTATTTTCAAGATTATCGAGGACAGATTATTTATTTTCTTCTTTGTCTTACGTACCTTGATCGATTGATTCTAAAAAGACTAATCATTTATAAACCATAGGCAGATTCAGGGGGGGGGGGGGGCGTGTATAACTTTGTTCAAGCAAGAGGTCTGGGGCCGCCTTAAGGCCCCCTGTGGGTCCTGGGTGAAGCACTGGTGGAGGCCAAGGGAGGGAAATTCCCCAGAATCTCTTGGGTTTTCGGGTATTTTAAGAATAAAACCAGGACAATTATACATGTAGTGGTATTGGTTATTATGTACCAAAGTATGACATTATTAATATTGGTCATGTCATACTTTGAATGAAGGGGGTCCAGGGGGTGAAGCCCCCTGAAGCTCGAGGGTTTTTGTGTATTTTAAGAGTAAAACCAGGCACAATTATGTAGCAATTGGTTAGTTATGTTCCAAAGTATGACGTAATTAATACTAGTCATATCATACCTTGAATGAAGGGGGCCTAGGGGGCGAAGCCCCCTGAAGCTCTTGGGTTTTTGTGTATTTTAAGAGTAAAACTAGGCACAAAAATATTGGTATTGTACTAAACTATGGCAATATTAATATTATTCATATCATACTTTAAATTTTTGGGGAGGGATCATACACATGTACGCCTTCCTTAAATCTGCCACTGTATACTTTGTATTAATTTCTCGGGAAGTATACTTCTTTGACAAGAAAATTTATCTTTTGTGGTGTTTAAGAACTGGCTTGTATTTAAAGTGATTTATCACATCTACTGAGTGCACATTGCCATGCTGATCAACTGACTACAAGTATCCAGTCTGGTAATCTGATTTTAAATACAATTTGGTTCTAAAATGGCGAGCGAAGCGAGCCAAAAAAATGCTGAATTGAAGATTCTGAGGTTAAATTGAACGTAAATAAAAAGGTATTTTCACAATATTTAAATATCATAAGTCAAGGTTATTTATTTTCTTTGCAGAGGAGGACAGATTATTTATTTTCAACATTTTCAGGGACAGATTATATATTTCCAAAATCTGCCAGCTCCCCCCCCCCCCCCCCCCCCCCCCTCAGAATCAAATGGTCGTCCCCTAATCATATTTTTAATTCAATTACAACAAACTGACTGGAGAATTTCTCCACTTTCTAGCATTTGTCAATCAATTACCTTTCACTCCCTAATTCTAGACACATTCTGTAGACAATTTGTATACTTTATCCACCTCCCAACCATTTATACTTGTCTCTACAGGCAATAAACTCGCAATAAACTCGCTTGAAGTGAATTTTCAGCAATCTAAAAAATGATTTTATTCAAGTGAGTTTATCACTTGTAGAGAAGACTATAAAGGGTTGGGAGATGGATAAAATATATAGATTAGTAAAAATAATGTGCCTAGAATTAGGGAGTTAAAGGTAGTTAATTGACCGATGCTGGAAAGAGGAGAAATTCTCCCCAAAAGTGCGCAAAAATATTGTGCCGTAAATTGCACCTTTCTCGTAATACAGGATCTGTAGTGTTATGGTCAAAGACAAATATAAAAACCATAATGCTACAGATCTGCAGCTAATGTTAATTATGATCGAGATTAATTTTTGATATAATTTTGATCAGAATTTTCCCTAAAATTTCACGATTTCATTTCAATTTCTTTTTAAAATATTATTGACTTCTACATGGTTCTCCTTAATTAGGTTTAAGAAACATTCACAAATAATGTGTTTTAATGTCAAAAATAATTTTTTTAATAAAAAAAATTTAAAGTATCTATTCACTTTCAATCTTTCTTTACATATTTTAGTAGACACCCATATGTGCTTGTTAACGTTCAGCAAAAGTTTATTCATAAAACAACTTACTTTCAAATAAAACTTTCTTTCATTTTCTCTGAACAAAATGCAAATCTTTTTTTTTAAAAAAAGCAATTCAAAGATATATTGGACTTAAAATGCTGAGATTACAATTTAGAGAGGTCTTTTAAAGATCTATGAAATAAAATTTTGTTGTGGCATTTCTCCGTAAAATATTTAATTGTGTACGTGTACATGTAATATAAGAAAAATATGCAAACTGTAATATTCACATACTTTAATTGAAAGCAAAATGTACATGGCATTAACAAGTGCATTTACATATAACTTATCAAAGAGTAAAAAGCATTGTACATCATGTACGTACAGTATCACAGTTCATCAAATTATTCATAAACAACAAAGGTCACAATCTTGAAGGTGGGGATGTCATATTTCTGGGTAAATTTGTATCCAAGTTTTGGGATTAAAATCTTTGATAAAAAAAAGAGACAAAAGCTTATGGGGAACAATGCTAACCTGAGTAAGGCATACATCAGATTTATCATTTCCAAAACAGGAGTTCTTAAGAGGTTTTCATAAAATTTCCACAAATTTTCACCATCTTTTTGCAAATTATCTCCCCCTGAAAGAGTAACAATATTACTAGTCTAGCCACAAAAGGAGGGAAAAAGGGGGCATATGAATATCCCCTTCCTACCATTTAAAAAGGTGAGAAGGGGAACACAAATTCCAAACCCCATGACTACACATGTATGCCTATACATTTAAAGCAAAAAATTGTCAAATTATCAATTATATGCAATATATTAATCATAAATCTGTTTAAAAGCTGTCTTCTTTGGAACTCTTTCTTCTTCATTAAGATTTTCTGCAAAAAAAAAAAGGACAATGGATTATTATACATGTACTTATTTTCTGTCGGGTCTTGCTTTTAAAACATGAATTCCAAAAATATTTTTACAACAATAACTATAAACACACAGACAGTTCTGAAAACTGTATACAGGCTTTTTTTTGCCCTATCTTATTTTCACCCTTTTCTACACATGCAAACAAGTTTGCCCCTTTTTTAATTCGCCCAGCACAGTTCTGATTAAGCGATAAAGCCATTTTATTTGAATTCACCCTGTTTTGAAACATGGGCAAGAGGGGCGAGAATTTCCCTGTATACAGACACAAGTAATTTAATTTAAAACCTTACCATCAATTCTACAAAGTTGCTGCAGCAGAAACAAAGCTGACCTCTGACCTTCAGTCATGTGACCAGATAACAGAGTCAATAAATGGTCTTTGGCCTCTATCAGATCTGATTCTGTAGAAGATAACGTACAACACTGTATCTCAAATTCCTTTCACAGATGACATTATTTATATCAGAACAATTGATATACTGTAGATCACTAAATTTTTGCGACACACTATTTTCGCAAGATTGTCGTTGACTCTTTATAAGCGAGACATAATTTTCACGAATAGTTGTTATTCCTCTATATAATCGTAAGGAATACTTTTATACGCGAGAATTAAATTTTCGCGAAAGCATTGTGTCACACAATTACGCGAAAATAAAGTTCTTGCAAATAAAAAGTGATTTACATTATAAAGTGGTAGGTACATAATACACATTTATTGACTGGGTTCGAGGGCAACATGCAATTTGTCGATTCCAAGAACTGAACTGTTTGCCTGAAGCCTAATGGCCTCAGGCAAACAGTTTGGTTTGAGGGATAGACAAAATGCAAGTTGCCCTTGAACCCAGTCAATAAATGTTTTGCTTTACCTTTTATCTATTTATTATTATTTTTTGGACATTCATGCATGTCAAGCACCAAAGAACACAAATGAGATTAAGCTGACCCCACCCATTGTGCAACATATTTAGTGGTTCAACATCATACTGACAGGTCCAAAATCTCTCTCGTGGTTAAAAACATATTTTTTCATGAATGCTCAGTAAAAACTTGGAAATACTTTTATTAGTATTGATTTACATAGGAACAAATTTTTACAGGTATAACAATTCTAAATGTAGCAGTTCTGGCTACATGGATATTGATCTGGTTTGCTAACAGCTGCAGAACTATAGCTCTCCAAAAAATATATATTGACAGACGGGAGAGCTACAGTGCCACCCACTGAAAAAACTGTATATTTATTGCACACAAAAAAGTGCGCTGTTTCTCGATTTATTTCTCCATGTTTTTAAAACTGTCATCTTAAAATATTACTAACCGTGTGTTTCTAACATATTCTTTCACTGTTTCATCAACAAAACACTCCTTATAATTGTTGTTAAGAAGCCCTTCTGGGCCTGATATTAAGATCATCGAAAATTTGGTCTATTTATTCTGCAATTTTTGTTTGCAAGATAATTCCGTCCAACGCACTTTGAGCAGATGTCAACTACAAGAGTACCTGATAACGGAGTAAGGAATATTTTGAAATCTAGCTTTTTTTGCTATAGAGGTAATAATTTGAAAGAATTAATGCATAACTAAGCTCAACTTTTTGTGTGCAATAAATATCCATTTTTTTCAATGGGTGGCATTGTAGCTCTCTGGTCTGTCAATATATATTTTTTCCGGAGAGCTAGTTCTGCAGCTAGCTGGCTAAGCGATAGAGCACCTGAATAGGGTCCTGTGTTCAATTCCACTGTTTTATTTATCTTATTCTGAGTTAATGTGTGTGATTTTTACCTAGAGTCGAGTTGCTGTCTTGAGGACTTGTTCTGAACCTGTCAAAATGAACCGATATCACCTCCGACCTCTCCAACAGTAGATGATGTAAGATGTCCAGATCAATGGCTTGTAGCAGGCTCACTAGATGTAAAATGGATGTACAAATCTGCAAAAAAAATTTCATATGTATAATCTCTAATGCAGAAGTGAACCCCTTAATGATAGACTAATTTCAAAGCAAGAAAAGTTAATCTGTGTGTAACCTAGCTTTTTTTAAGGCCTATTAATTACATTTTCAACAGCAAGATACTGTAATTAATCCCTTGAATAAAAAGTGAAAATTTCGGAGGCACATTTTTCATTGTAAAAATATATGTGTCATGAGACAAGTAGGTGAGAGTGAATAGGCTGTAGTGGACAAAAACTGACAAAGTCTCTGCAAATTTCTTTAACTTCATGTTAGCAATTTTCAACGGCACACATAATAATGTTTGCTTATCAATATGATTTACTGTCACACTGCTTAAATTCCTACTATTCATGTAAAATTTCAAATATCTACTGATAGTTTAGCCCCTGTATAGCCTGCGTAGCCAAGACTTGAATAAATATAAATCTGCACTCCATTAAGATATGCCATGTATAAAAATTGACAATCTGCAATTTTGGCATTGTAATGGGGATGACATAAACTGGCCCTATCCCTGAGTCTACAATTTTTTCTCCTCCAAGGATGCTGGATGTTAGTTCAAAGCAGAAAAGACCCCCTTTCCTCACCCCCTATCATCTAACCCCCATCACTGAGGAATACAAAACAATCCCAAACCAACAGAAAATAAATAATTTTTTACTTGAATAGCCTTAAAATTGCAGAGCCAAACACAGACTGACCAATATCATTATACTCCTCGATCTTAAATCTCAAGAACACACATGTACTGTATACCGGTATAGAATAATTTTTGCCCCCATTTTATTTTCGCCCCTTTTACACTTCTCATAGTTGGGCAAATTTAAAACTGGGAAAATTCATCAAATACAGTATTATTCTCTTAACAGACTATGACTGGGCAAATTTAAAATGGTTCAATATTGTTTTCAGGTATGAAAAAGGGTGAAAATAACATGGGGCAAAAATAAACCTGTAAACAGTAAATGGATCTTCTTCTAAGTGCTTAAAACTAAATAAAACTAATACCTGATTGTTTAGATTATTTCTGTATTTAAATTCAGCAAAGTCAGTGATGTCTTCTGATGTTTCCAGGGCGATAACAAGACTTTCCCAAATAAAAGAAAACAGCTGACAGTCGCCATAGTGACCCCTCTCTGATGGAGACCCCAGAGCCAACGCTGCATTAATTCGCACCTTGAAGTTCTTACAGTCTTTAACAACAGCACACAATGTTATCATCAAATCTCGCTGAAAGTAGAATAGTTTTTAAGAATTAAAAGCCTTTTCCTAGGCACCGTGTAAGCATGTACATGTACTTAGTTTAACATTTACCACACAAGTGAAAAAGATACATACAGGGTTATTTTCGCCCCGTGTTATTTTTGCCCTTTCACGCTTGCAAACAAATTTACCCTGTCTTAAATTCACCCTTCATAGTTTTGTTTAAGAAATTATACTGAATTGTTTCAATTCGCCCAAATGAAAGTAGGGCGAAAGGGGCGAAAATATCCCTGTATACAGTAGATGTAATTACAGAGGAGCCTAGTTTATCCAGATCAATGCAATAATTCAGGTACTGTATTTCAATGTTGGGTCAAAATTTGTGGGGAAAGTTATACCTTTATATATACCAAGTATGTTTCAGTGATCTGAACACAATTTGCTCTGGTAAACAGGCATCTAGATTAAAGAGGCTCAAGTACATAAAGACCTAACTTTTTTTTCTCAGTAGACAAGCTACATTAAGGAGCAAACAGACTTTAATCAAAAGCTTCCAAAGTAAAAAGGGGACTGATCTGTATTGAATTGACAATAAACATAACAGAAACATTAACCTAGGATCAGCTATGGGGGTACACTAAAGTTCTCCTAAACTGTAAACTAAAGGTGAGCTAGAAAATCAAACTTACTGTCCAGGGAGCTCCTCCAAAATTGAGTAGTGTATTTTTAAACATGTTACTGACTGCATAGCAGGCATTCCATCTTAACTGTGAAAAATAAGAAATAACTTGCACTAGTGGATAGCAATATATCACACATTTAATGTAAACAGCAATAAGTAATATCGCAAATACCTCGCAGTTATCTAACTTACTACCGCTCTTTTGCGGGGAAATTGAGAAAGCTCTAAATCTCACAAGATTTCTAGGGCACATGACATTGTTTATAGTAGTGACAATCGAATGATTCAAACAATTTTAGGCCAAAAATACAATTTATTGCCAAGGACTGAACTCCAAATAGTAGATTGACAAATAAGGATAGTTTAGAATATTTTATCAGCTTTAAAATGTGACAATTTTCAATGAAAATTCAATGAGAAAAATCTGCTTAGTTAAAAATATCTTTGAAAATGTAACATTTTAGGATTAGCTTCTCTCAAAAATTGATTAGGTTGATTTAGCAATTTTTTAGCAAGCTATTCCACCAGGATTTTTTACTTACATGTCCTTATAAATTCTACGATGATTGACCTTGCATTCTATTCAATAGCAAATTTTCCCCCATTTAACAGACGTTTCCTACCTCCATCACAAAGAGTTCCGCTAAGTAAAGTAATCGCAATATCAAGTATCACAGCATAAATAAATTTGAGGATGTAACACACAAGAACAAGAGGCCCATAGGCGACAATGTTCACCTGAGTACAGCTGTTCTTCAGACACACACACCCCACCCACTCCTTATGAATGTCCTCATCATTTAAAATCATGATGCATGTGCTAACCTGCACAAAATAGTATATTTCTGCCAGAGGAGCAAAAGGAACAAAATTGAAACTGTACTACAGGAGGATGCCTGCATATTTTTCTCACTTATCAGTGCACAGCAGTTCTTGAGAAAAGATTTTTTCCGATGTATTCCAGTGTAAAATTTTATTTCACAAAATGGCCCCATCCTACCTCAAAGACAATGATTTGAACATATCATTTAACCCTGAACTATACTTGGATGGTTGCGCATTGATATGACTAATCAAAGCCCTTCCATTGTTGAGAAAAAGATTTTTTTTTATGCTGTAGAATCATCATTTATAGGGGACTGCACCTGGTGGGTTTTTTTTAAAAAAAATTTCCCAAATAAAACTTTGATTCCCTATCAAGATACCATCCTATTCCCATGATTTGAGCAAAATTGAATGCACACTTTGTCAGCCTGAGGAAGCTTGTCATAATATTGTTTCATCTTTTCTATATGTGGTTCTTGAGGAAAAGATTGTTATATGACCCACCAAATGTTCATTATTTCTAAATCATCTTGAAAAACGGCATGATTCTCCATTTTTTTACATGAGGCCCACGGGCCTTATAGGTCACCTGAGTATCATGTAACAACTTTCCAGTGATTGTATTTGGTTCGTGTTTTAAACCAAAAGCCATGAAATTCACAAATTTTGAAAGAGGCACCATTGCTTATCAAAGGGCAGATTTCAAAGCATTAATTTATTTTTAGTCAAAGTACCCCCTTGGTACCCCTGACCCAGCAGCCCTGAAATTATCTATTTTGAAAGAGCCCCTTTCTTCATTATAAGGCCAGCATTTTTTTTTTTATGTTTAGGTTTAGTTATGAACATGAGAATAAAAAAGTCCCGAAGGAGAAGGAAATGAAAATTTTTTTTTGATAAATCAATTATTAACATTTGTACATTCTTTTTTTATGCTATCCTAATAGGCTCCTTACCACTGGACACATAATGCTTACAAATAGGAAAGTAGAACATTTAATTGCTTATTTCATCATCTACCAGTTTGGGCCAGTTATATAAATTTTGTGATGTTGATCAAAATATATTTTAAATCAAAGGCCTGACGGCCTGAGAGGCGCATCGCATTGAGGGTATAAAACTTGTTTTTTGTTAGAGAAATTCAACATCAATTTAAGGGAATGAAAGAATCCAGGAATAAGAATTTAAAAAATAACTAACGTTTCTTTGAGGTTAAAAAAAATTGAGCCATGGCTCTGAGTTTTAGCCAATCGATCATGTGCAGGAGAGGAAAAACTTTTTTCTTTTTTTTTTAAAAAAAAGATAGTCTGATATATTAATATTTAAATTAAATCATAATTGATTTTAATTGTATTTTAATTCTTTTTTTATTTTTATTCTTTTACTATAAGGAAGATGAAATAATGAATGTCAATATAGAAATTACTAGTGATGATTATTGAATAAATTCATATAATTTCATATCTGAATTATTTCAGTTTCTTTCATTATGTGCACTTTTATAAATATCACTACTTTGTTTTTAACTTTTTCCCAATATAAATGGCACAATATATAACAAATGTTATATACATGAAATGTTCATGTAAATTATACGGGACTAAAATAAACAATCGGGCGTGGTATACGGTTTATTATGAACCCGATACAAAACCGAGTAATTTATCGTACGAGCTGTTGTTATGCAAATAGATCTTACTCCGCGCAGGGCACGTTTGTTGTTGTTTTCTCTCTTTGTTTTAATTGTTTATTTTCTCATTTTTTGTAACCTCTGTTGATTCAAAGTAAAAACATGTATGTGTGAGATTTTATGTTATTAGCTGTTTAAAATTAACAATGGATATCTCCAGCTTGTCAATGTACATTAGCACTATTTTTAATAACGTGTTAAGAATCAATATTGTTGAGTCCTTTGCCGCCGCAGTTTAGATAAGAAAGAATTGCCTGGTGATCGCAATGAGGCTGCATCGAAAACGATGCGCCTCAAAAATCAATTCTTTAAAAGTCTTTCAATATATCTTCATTTTTTTAATATGTGTTAGGTGAATGTGCAGACATTATTCTAAAATTTACTTGATGCCTAAAATTATAATTCCTATCATAAAACAGACAGGGAGTATTGGGGAGTAGGGTCAACATTTTTTCAATTAAGTGTAAAATAATTTTTCTGGCTGATACAAATGATACTACATGCCTGTATATATTTGTATATTCTTGTCTTTTAATAGTTGAATTTTTTTTTATTTCTTCAGGTTATTGTTTATTTCTTCCTCAAATGGACTTCACTTCTCCACATCTGATGCATAAGCAACCCTTTTCTGAAGAATGATGCTTAGACTGTAAGCTATAGCAGAGATCTAAACAATGTCCCTGGCAATATGCAATAGCTACCACGGGCAGTTTAAAACCTGGGGGAGGAAAATAATTTACAGTTACTTTTGAAACGAATACATAATTATCTCACCAGCAGGTCATTGTGCAACAAAGTCGTCAGCATTTTATTTGTCCTTTGAACAGGTGAAACGTTTTGAATGGCACTCTTATCGATGAATTTTACACAAAACCAAGCTATCTTCTCAGATCTAGCTTTATTTACCCGCCGTTTCATCGTAAAACTGGAAGTGCGAGTTCGTAAATTTGAAATCTCGATCCCAACTCAAATTTGACATCGGAAAGAAAAAAATTGTTTTATTTTTTCCTAAAAATTCAATACTTTGAGCGGAGGGTTTGTAAAACTGAAAATAAAATAAATCCTGGCCCTAAATATGTAATTAGATCATTAGCATATTAACCAGGAGCAAAGGATAAGATGTTCAAAGAATTCATGCATTTCACTATATATAATCATTAGAGCCCCACCTTAAACAAGAACCCCTGACCCTGGGGCCATAAAATTCACAATTTTGGTAGTGGCACTCTTGCTTATCATAACTATGTACTTAGTTAGTTTATATAATACCCAGGAGCAGAGAAGAAGATTTTCAAAGAATTCATGTATTTTCATTATATAATCAATAGAGCCCCGCCCTAACACCGGAACCCCTGACCCTGGGGCCATAAAATTCACAATTTTGGTAGAGGCACTCTTGCTCATCATAACTATGTACTTAGTTGGTTTATTTAATACCCAGGAGCAGAGAAGAAGATTTTCAAAGAAATAATGCATTTTCACTACCTACTTATTTAGCCCCGCCCTAGCACTAGAAACCCTGACCCCAGGGCCATGAATTTCACAATTTTGGTAGAGGACTCATTGCTGATTACAATCATGCAAACAGTTTGACTGCTTGATGTCCAGGAGTAAAGGAGAAGATTTTTAAAGATTGCATTAGTTTTAGTGATTTTGGCCCCACCCCTCAGGCCCCAGGAGGGCAGGGATCATGAAATTCACAATTTTTGTTCCCCTTCACCCATAGATGCTTTGTGCCAAATTTGGTTGAAATTGGTTGAGTGGTTGCAGAGAAGAAGCTGAAAATGTTCAAATGTTAACGCACGACGAACGACGACGGACGAAAACAGATAGCAATAGGTCACCTGAGTTTACTCAGGTGACCTAATTAACTTCATCCCCTTTACTCAAGGGGATGAATTTAAGAAATTTTGCTTGAATTTGGCCCTGTACTCCTGGAGAATGAGTCGAAAATGTAGAAAGAAAATAGAAGGACAGATGCACAGATAGACCTAAGGTGACCAGAAAAAAATCACAAATCTGTGGTTCAGGTGAGCTATAAACAATGCTAATAAAGAGGAATGTCATATTACCTTCATTGTTCCACTGCTGATGTTCTTTATTAATGCTTTGACTCCATCCTCTACAGATGTTCTGAAAGAACTCTTGCCTGAAATCAACACAACAACTCATCATTTCAATTTCTTCTATACATGAACAACAAATAAGAAACACAATCATTACTTTAACTGCATTCAACCCATATAAAGAATTAACATGTGCAGCTTAAATCAGTGATAAATGTTTAACAATAAAAATAAACATGCAAGTGCTATTGTCCAATGGTTTACAGAAATTCCAAACCAAATCCTACCGAGGCTCCTGATTGGTAGATATCTGAGGATATTTCCCAGGGCTCTGACTGCGTTAGACTTGACTTTGTCACTGTCCTGACAGGCCTTTATGGAGGTACTAAACAGCTTCTGTAGCAGCATGTCAGAGAAGTCATTCATGAAGTCATTATCACCATCAATCCTACAAACAAATAAATAATGTCAGGAAAATTAGAAATCACCTGTCTACATGACAATCATATGAGAAAAAAATACAAATGGTAGACAAAATGGAAGAGCAATCATTGGAAGACTACAGAAGATACATGTAATTAGAAAATTGCCAGGACTGTTATTTTGAAGTTAATTTTTTTTTAAATTTTTTTAAAATAATTATTGATTTCTTTTCTTGATTTTCTCAACCAGAGACCTGTTGTACAGTTCTGCAGTTAAAATCTGTCCTCCTATCTCTCCTGCATTGAAAAATATTAAGAACAATTGCCCCTTGTTTCAATCTACTTTCTTTTCTTGCTTATGATAAGATCTATATCCTTACTTGTTTAAGACTAGAGCATCACAGAGGTTAGCTAGGGACCAGGCAGTCTTAAAGCGGACATTCAAACAGGTGTCCTCCATAGACATCAAGATAGCATTAGCAGCATCAGCTACAAAGCACACATCCTAAGTAGGGATTAAAGGAAAATAAATTACTGAAAGAAATATGACTTATTTATAGCAGCATTGTTGTTTCTTAATGTTTTTAAAATATTTCTTCCCTTGTATATTCCCAAGTATAACTTTTGAATAAAACCTAGGATCCAAAATCCAATAAGTAATTCAGAAGCTGCACCACCTGAGTATGTCCAAAGACATTTAATTAATTTTTCATCAAACATCCATGAAAATCTGACATATTTTGTCAATTCTGTAGATCATTAATATAAACTTAATATACTGTAGTGTACTTAATCTCTTTTGAAAATCATCAAACTCCTTATGATTTATGGAAAAACACTGAATCTTAAAACAAAAAAATCACCTTCAAAAAGCCAATTTGTTTTACCCTGTAAAATTTAGTTCTTACTTCTAGACAGATTAAACTGACTTACCTCTCTAAGACAAGGAAACAGTACAAACACTCCAATGGTCCTAAGGGCCGAGGATCGTACTATTTTATCTTCATCTGACGTTAATCCCAGAATTAAGGTGATGCACAACACCCTTTTGTCAATCTGAAAGATACAAGCTTGTAAATATATACTGTATGTAAATCTGAATTTCAAATACACTGTCAGGATTAGCTAACCAGTACTCTTATTTCATCAAATCTAGACACTCTATCATTCTTGTAATTAGCCAAGCACAAAGCAAAATGTGTATCTATATAAACAACTCAATGGCATTTATAATCAGTATTTCTATGTAAATGAAATATTTGTGCATGTCATTTAATACATTTCCATACTGATGCTAAAATCAATTAAAAGTAACATCATCAACATTTTTCTTACTTACTGGTAGGGCAGCGTAAACTTCTGGTCCTATGTTGGAGGCACAGTCACAGGTGGTGGCCTTCACTGCACAATTTGGCTCGGACTGGAGAATGTTAGCAATGGCTATACTCAACAGTGAAATCCAGAAATCTGTCACCTGCAAAGGATTTTTTATTACATACTGCAAAAACATGGGTTGGAACAGTTTTGAAATTTAAATGTATAACAAGTCTATATTATGAATATGCTTTGTGTATGCCTTTGGCCTCAGACCATGCAACCTAAGTCCTCTTTACCAAGCAAATAACTCAGGTGTGTATACTCCCTCAAGTTCAGTCAAAAACCTACAAATATACAGCTCAATCTTATTTATAACATACCTGTTGCAGAGTTAATCTGCCTGAGGAATCTGTTGCATCCCTTGCCTGTACTTCTCTCTGAAGAGCTTGAGTCAGATCATCCACAAGCTAAAATACAACACATTTTCATCTATACATGATTAAATCTGCACAACATTCACTTTGTATAGCCTATGCTATACCAAGGTCATGTAATTATGTTGACATTCAAAAGTGGAAGGGACCATGCACCCCAATGCTCCCCTGAAAAATACTTACAAATGCAAATGCATAAACAGGCCATAATAAAAATATTTCTAGATTCTCATCCCAACCCGCCCCGATTTTTTATCTCTGCCATGATTTTTTCATTTCTTTTTTTCTTCGTCTTAATTCTGATTGGGATTGATATTCAACTACCACTCACTTTTCATTTTAAATCATGTGAATGTCAGCATGATTTTTACAGCTGAAAAGATGGTAATTGCTAATTGCTGTAAAATATATCAAATAAGGGTCATTGGTTGTGAAAGATTGGTGATGATGTGAAGTTAGAGGTAATGGACCTTTACTATGACTTTTATTTGGGTATTATAGATAAATCTGCAAAGACTGACCAGGTCAATAAAAAATCTGCAAAATGGAAAAAATAAAAATTATAAAATAAAAGCCACCTGCCTGCGAAGAGAATCTAGGAAATTTTTTTATTATGACCATTGGCCTTACTGGTATGTTGAATTTTAAAGATTTACATCACTTCATTATTCCTTTATTTAAAGCATTCACATTCTAATTTTATACTATTGTAAAACTGACATGATTACTGATGTAACGTTTTCGGATAAATGAAGCATACAGAATTGTACACAATCTTTCTTACCTTTGATGTGTGAAGACGAATCACAGGATCTGGATCAGCATAACACTTGAGAATCAGATCTTGTAGGACAGGTAGACTGTTTCTATAGAGATAATATAATTACATGTAACTCCTCAAATTAAATACTGTATTTCTCCAATTTACAAATATTACCATATACCGGTAAATATCCAGTTATATTTTCTTAAATTAAAATTTGTATTTGCTCATGTAAATGTATGAGTCTGAGTTTGTAATAATAACACCCCTTTCCATATCACACCCTGTATCACTCCTCTGGCCTATGGCCCTCTGGCTGACATTGGTGTCTCAGACTGAGACCGTGTGTGATGTGGAATAGGGTACCTACATATCATTACCTATAAACAATATATATGTAATATTGAAAACTTGATGTTACACTGTTGGGGTAAGTTCACTGTATCCTGTAACATTTTCTACCTGATTATTGGGAAGTATCCTTTGCCCAGGTGAGCTAGGACTTGTAAGGACTCCAGTCTTACAGGTAGAGGCTCCGTATGTTCTCCGTTCTCCCCCACACTGGGCAGTATGTTCCTCACACATAACTTCACCAGCCAAGATACACTGTGGGCAGAAGCTTGTAGACTCATGTCTGAGAACACTGGGGTCTGGACCCCTGAGGATGAACCCATAGGGCTCCCCATTCCTGGGGATGAGTTTTGAATGTCCTTGACCTCCTCCATCATGCCTGCTTCAGCATTAGGAGAACAGTTACTCTGGTTACCACTGCTGATTCCCGAGTCTCCACTCAGATGAGGGTTGGTGTCGCGACTGACACTTGTCTGACTGTGCGGACGGCCTGACTGGATGATGTGACAGACCTCCATTAGAGGGGGCTGTATGGCTGCCACAGCTCCTAGGCATGTCAAGCAAGCCACTCTCACATTAGGATCTGTAAAAACAAAGGTATTAGTGTGTGCTCAAGTCTGCCCACTCCATTTTACTTTTTTGTACTCATTTCCTATGCTATAAATCTGGAAATTTTACAGTCTGCTTTTCTGATCATATTTTGTCCGTCGTCCGTCCGTCTGTCCGTCCGTCTGTCCGTCCGTCTGTCCGTCCGTAAACTTTTCACATTTTCGACTTCTTCTCAAGAACCACTGGGCCAATTTTAACCAAACCTGGTACAAAGCATCCTTGGGTGAAGGGGAGTTTAAATTGTTAAAATGAAGGGCCAAGTATCCTCCAAAGGGGAGATAATCAAGAAAAAACAAAAATAGGGTGGGGTCTTGAAAAAATCTTCTTCTCAAGAACCACTGGGCCAGAAAAGCTGAAACTTATGTGGAAGCATCCTGGGGTAGTGTAGATTCTAAATTGTTCAAATCATGGCCCCCGGGGGTTGGGCGGGGCCACAATAGGGAATCCAAGTTTTATAGAAATATATAGGAAAAAACTTTAAAAATCTTCTTCTCAAGAACCAGTGGGCCAGAAAAGCTGAAACTTATGTGCAAGCATCCTGGGGTAGCCTAGATTCTAAATTGTTCAAATCGTGACCCCCGGGGGTTGGGCGGGGCCACAATAGGGAATCAAAGTTTTACATAGAAATACATAGGAAAAAACTTTAAAAATCTTCTTCTCAAGAACCACGGGGCCAGAAAAGCTGAAACTTATGTGGAAGCATCCTGGGATAGTGTAGATTCTAAATTGTTCAAATCATGACCCCCGGGGGCTGGGCGGGGCAACAATAGGGAATCAAAGTTTTACATAGAAATATATACGAAAAATTTTAAAAATCTTTTTCTCAAGAACCATTGGGTAAGAAAAGCTGAAACTTACATGGAAGCATCCTGGGATAGTGTAGATTCTAAATTATACAAATTGTGACCCCCAGGGGTTGGGTGAGGCCACAATAAGAAATCAAAGTTTTACATAGAAATATATAGGAAAATTCTTTAAAAATCTTCTTCTCAAGAACCAGTGGGCCAGAAAAGCTGAAACTTACGTAGAAGCATCCTGGGGTAGTGTAGATTCTAAATAGTTTAACTCGTGACCCCCGGGGGTTGGGCGGGGCCACAATAAGGAATCAAAGTTTTACATAGAAATATATAGGAAAATTCTATAAAACTCTTCTTCTCAAGAACCAGTGGGCCAAAAAAGCTGAAACTTATGTGAAAGCATCCTGGGGTAGTGTAGATTCTTAATTGTTCAATTCATGACCCCCGGGGGTAGGACGGGGCCATAATTTGGAATCACAATAGGTTATTACAAGGGGGAAATCTGGTAAAGAACAGCTAGCATGGTCAAAGCTACTCAGGTGAGCGATGTGGCCCATGGGCCTCTTGTTTAATTTCTAAACATAGACTGTTTTAGGAAATTTATATTTCTGAACTCATGCAGACTTACCCCTATAGCTAATGAAATTTCTGATTTGTTTAACAACCCGACTAAGTAGCCCTGGTCTCATCCTCGAGTAAGGTACATTGGTAATCAGGGTGGATACACACTACAATATACAAATATTACAACTGTATTTATACAATGTAAATCAGCACTATTCAAATGCAAGAACATCAGATTTCCTAACAGGTGTCTAGAAACAGGAGTCTAGAAAAGCCAGATGTGTAAGGGATAATGACATTTAAAATTTCACTTGCTATAACTCCAAAATTAACTTACCCAGTATGATGCCCCAAATTTTTTTTTATACTTATATAAACGTATTAAACTGGGAAAAAAAACATTTATTTTTGCATGTATATTTTTATATACATGTAGATACCAAACATTGCTGTAGTTTGTGAAACTAATCCCATAGTATTTCTCCCTTACCCCCAAGTAACATGCCCCAGTTCTTTTTGAAAAGATTTTTAAGGTTTTTTTCCAGAAATATTCCCATAAAAATTTGATTTCTAATACTGGCACAATCCTACTCCTGAGACTAGAATATGAACAAACTTAAATTCAAACTGCATGTACATGTATACCCAAAAGCTTCTGCATAATTTTTTTTATTTTTCTGTAATATATTTCCTAATTATGGTTTTTCTATTAAAGAAACATGAATCCTCTTGATCCAAGTATACTCCATGCCAAGTTTTTAAAATATGCCCAATGATTCTGGCAGGGAAAATTGTAAAAACTAATTTACAAATGAACAACAGAAAAACTTTTATCAGAGAAGCTTACTAGAGCCTTCATGAGCTAAAAAAAGTCCATAAATAAAACTGACTTCTCTAACCTGAGCTGTTTTATATCATGTAGTATAGGTTTTTGTTTAATTCTCACCTTGATAAGCTGTGTTAGAGTCAGAGGAATATTCTCGGAGACTAACGCTAGCAGAAGACATCGGTGGAGCTCTCTTATTGTAGAACCCAATACAGCCGAAAAAGGAACAAATGTGGCAAACTTCTGGTCACTAAGATCAAATTAAATATTTCTTCATTGAAAAAAAAATCAAGCAATAATAACAACATCTATTTCCACTTTATTTAATAAATTAAAACTAATGTGCATGCTTGAATTCATAGTTATGCATTATGGGGGGAAAAAAATGTCAATTTCATATTATCATCTGAAAACATAATTTTACATAAAGCCTTCAAAATAAGGCATAATGCCATGAGTTTTCATAAATGATGTGATAGACATATTTATTTCTATACTGGTATATATGTATATTGATAAATTGATTTTGATCGCATGTTAATTAGCGATTTGATAACCCCAACTGCTGCATCTATAATGTACATGTACATGTATATATTATATCAGATATATACATGTGTGTGTGTGTTTACTAACCTTTCTTTCAGAACTTTCTATCTTGTCATTGTAAAAAAAAACCTTTATGCCTTCTGGGCCCATAATTGGAAAATAAAATTATCTTATCTTATAGTACTTTAATTTCAAAGTAGTTATTAATTAGGCCTATTCTTTACCTGTCATCAGCAGTTGCCAGCAGAGTTTTTGTGCCATCAATAAGAGCTGTCAAAGCTGCAAGAGCTCCCATTCTGCACTGTAAGGGGAAGTAATTCAAATACTTACAGTTTCAGTAGCTTTTAAATACATGTACTGTACTTATACATGTACTTTTATTCATATGCAAACAGAGGCAGTAAAATTGATGTAGCTTGAATAAAATAGGTCATTGATTATACATTGTACATGGCCTTAATGTTATTTGAATTTTAGATATATTTTGTAAGACATTATAATAAAAAATTATAATATCAATGAAAACTTGCCTTTGGTGAGGGGTCTTTCAGAATGACAGTAAAAAGTGTGTGGACTTGAGGACTATTACCAGCTGCCGTGGAGTCAGGTATGAATGACGACCAGTATCCAAACATTACTCGCTTATTGATGCTCTAGTTAAGGAGAACCAAAAAATATCATAGCATTACTTTGTAAGATATATTCTAAGCACCAACTACATTATATTAAACAGGTTCATTTCTTCACTCTTTAATATTCACAAGAAAAATTGTGATCCCATATTGTGGCCCTTTTCTGTTCCTTAAAAGATGTTTTTGTTGAATTCCCTACATATTCCCCATATAAATCAGTAATCTCCTACTGTGGAGACAACTACCACCAGGGTCATGATTTCAAGGAGTCCATCTTCTTCTAGACCAACGGTTCTTGAGAAGACAGTTTTTGAAGAAACCCACCTTGATTTTTGCATTGTCTTGATGATCTGCCTCTCAAGAAGGAGTGAGCTTTCATTTTAAGAAAAAACAAGAAATCTGTGAGCCAATGCTCACTAGTAATACCCCCGCTCTGATGTAAATAAGCACTATCATGTTAATATACACAAGTTCAATTACAGGCAGATGCACAGAAAAATATGAAGTTGACATCAGATTCATATCAAAATTAATCCCACCATAAGAGCATCCCTCAACAAAGAGTGTAATAAAATTTCAAGCATCCGCTATGAATAGCTAATGAGAAAACTGCGACAAAGATTTGTTATGTATGAAACGGACAAACACACAGACAAACAGGAAGTTGATATCCGATTTGAGTGAAAATGTATCCCACTATATGGCATGCCTCAGAGAAGATTGTGCTAAAATTTCAAGCAGCTACGATGAGTAGTTGCTGAGAAAACTGCGACGAAAATTTGTTATGTATGAAACGGAGAGACGCACAGACAAACAGGAAGTTGACATCGGATTTGAGCGAAAATGTATCCCACCATATGGCATGCCTCAGATAAGATTGTGCTAAAATTTCAAGCATCTACGATGAGTAGTTGCTGAGAAAACTGCGACGAAAATTTGTTATGTATGAATCGGACAGACGTACAGACAAACAGGAAGTTAATATCGGATTTAAGTGAAAATGTATCCCACCATATGGCATGCCTTAGAGAAGATTGTGTTAAAATTTCAAGCTTCTGCGATGAGTAGTTGCTGAGAAAACTGCAACGAAAAGTTTGTTACGGAGAGACACACGGACAGACAGACAGACGGACACACAAGGGTAAAACAGTATACCCCCCTCTCCTTCGGAGCGGGGGTATAATTATTTCCCTTCATTCAGAAGATGGTTTTCGGAAAGTATGGTAGAAATTGGTCCTATTGTTTTTGAGAAGTCAAATTGTGAAAACAAACAAAAAGATAGACTGATGGACTGAATTAAAGATGATGGACAACAGGTGACCAGTAAAGCTCATTTAAAGTTTGCAGTTCAGATTAAAAAAATATTTACCTTTATCGTTGTGTGCAAACAAGCCAGGGCACATTGTCTGACTTTGGCATGCAGTGACCTCAACCTTGAAGTCTGACCTCCCTCAGTGTCAGAATACTCCGACTCTGAACTGCTGATTTTTGCCCAGTTGGGTCTGGAAGATACTGCCTCTGCAGCTTTAGCTCTTGTCATCTCTGTTTCATCATTCTCATTCTCCTCCCTCTCCTGTGGTGATTTTGAGGTTGTGTTCCGATTTGTTTCTGCTCCTTTCTTTGCCTTTTTCTTTTTGTACTTTTTAACGCCTCCAGACTTTGCTGAGGAGTCATTAGTCTGTGGCTCTGACTTTGTGGGGCTTGATGGGGCGGGGTCATACTGACTGCGGGGGGTGGGGTATAGACTCTCTGGTACAGCCACTGGAGCACCAGGCAGACCATGAAACATAAACACCTAAAGACAAGAGATTTACCAGCATATACATCTATCTAAATCATCAAAATTATTTTTAATTAAAAATTACATAAATTTTACATGTTAAATTTGTCCAATCCAGAATTCACTAGTTCCACAAATATTACATTACTTTGATGAAGTATAAAGTTTTATATCTTTCTTTATAACAGTGCTATTCATAGCTAGATTTAACAAAATAACAAACCCTAATTCCAGCTAACAATGGTCCCAGGTTTTCAGATGGCATTATTTTGGTTGCTGTCAACAAATTGTGTAGCCCTCTCAAACTGCAAATCAAAATCTACAAAAGAGTACCAATTTATATTTATTGTTTTTGAAGTTTAAAGGAAAAGTATACAAAAACAATTAAACCCTGTAAGAAATTTCACTGAGAAAAGCTTTTATTGCGAAACTGAAATGAAAATCTATATTCAGTGATGGATAATGCATTTGCTACACAGTACCTTGCACTGTGTTCCTGGCTCCATGTTAGCAACAGGTACTCTATGTAAAAGTTCCAATAAAATCTGGAAACACAGGGCAGCATATCTGTCATCCATATATTCCTCACTGGACACTCTTCAAAATTAGTTAAACTGTTCTTAATGAAATGATAACAGACATCACAAGACACACAACTGACAGAAAGACAAATGAACAGAGGAACATCTGACACTCTCTGTTTCAGAGAAGCTCTATTTTGCTTTTGATACTATACCTGAAAGTCAGGTTCTCCACACACTGAACCGCTCCTTTAAGAATATCCTCACTGGTGGCATCTTCTTTAATCAGTGGAATCAGAACCCCTCGAGGCCCAAGTAGCACTTCATGAAACTAAAACAATTAAGCAAAAAATCAACTGTGATGTGGGTTCAAATAAAACTCAAATCACATTTCCAGTGGAATATTTTGACTGCCTATAAACCTGAGCTAATCTGTCCACATTTTCATACACCACAGCTCCCAGTGACTGGAGAATCTCGGCGGTGGCCCAGTGGGATATCCTCTGTACCGCCTTCACCAGGAAATCTGTGGCGTTCCATAGAACCTCATCCTCCAGTGACAGCTGTCAAAAATAAACTTACAGCTATCAAAAAATATATCATTGAAGGAATCAGCAACATTCCAGTTCTCCAAGAGCAAGTCTATTTCCTGAGTTAAAGTCGAGGGCAACTGGTTAATTTTTAACTGCAATTCTACTTTATACATAGTATACGTCTCCCCTTATCACAAAGACCATTTCCCTGAATATGCTGAATAATAGTTTTATCTATAAACACCAATGAAGCAGATGAAATTCATAAAATTTTTGGAGAATATTAAACAAAAAAATTATGGTTTGTCTTTGGGCAATTTCAAAAGGTCTGCAAAACTGAAAACTACCTCAGAACTATGCTGTCCCCCATCAGTTGCTTGATAACATTATTTTTGTAGTGAATAAATAATCTGAAAAATCTTACTTGCTGTTTTGCTGTCAGACTGTGTATAATCTGGCACACTTTCACTGATATCTGTTCCTCATAAACTGGTATTATTCTGCATACATGGCAAATTAAACTGTTGGCATCCTAAGAAATAGAATTTTTGCATTTAATATACCAGTATGTTATATATTTTAGTCATTTACATATCTGGAGACTTGTTTGCTAAATAGCTTTGTTTGGGTCTACATGAATCATACAAAGAGTTTAAACAAGGCCAAAATAAAATTATAGTTTGTTTGGAATTGCCGCCCGCCTCATTAAAATACCCCCCGCTCAAAAAATTTTATTGGCAAAATATTAACAATATTTTTTTTTATCGTTTTATTGTCTTACATTGTTTAGTACAAGTTAGTTCGTTCGTGGAAATAGCTTTATAAAGTCGGGTTTGAGCTCATATAAATTTAACAACGCGGGTCAACAAAACGCTTTCTTCATAGTATTTATGATATAGCGATTATAGGTGGCAATTTGACAAAATAAAAGCCGCCAAAATGTCAGACCTTGTTGGAAACATTCAAGCGTTGTGTTGAAGAGCAGAACATTTATGCATATCTTTAAAAATAAAAGGTGAATAAAAAATTAAATGGAATGATACATCGATACCTGGAAAGAGCTATTATAATAGATTGCTCATTGAACTTGATAAGTTAAGTCCGTCATGTTGGAAAAAAAATGATCGTTCAGTTCCCACTTAAAAAAATTACATGGATCAGAAACGTTTTATCCCAAATACTATCTGTCAGTATGACAAGTCTTTGCAACGTAATGTTAAAACTGATGCATGGTGAAAACTCGAGAAAGTACCAAGCACCCCCTCCCGGTTTTCCACAAAACATCCCAACTATTCCTTAGAAATTTTGTGTGGTTTAAACTGTTTGCAAGCGTTGTCTTAAATTTCAAAGAGAAAAACTACGAAATAGACTTATAAAAGTATTGTTTAATAAAGATTCTTATAATAAACTAGAAGTTTGATGCTGAAATATAACTTCTAGTATTAATAAATGATCAGATCTTAACATCTAAATGAGATTAATATTTCAGTATCGTTCTGTGTACATCTTTTTTTCAAATCGGACCAAATAATATTAATAAATAAAAGAAAGTGGATAATAAATGGAAATTACCACTGTTCATTGAGATTTTGTTTTTTATCATTTAGCTTCAATTTGTTAAAAAAAAAAAATAATAATAAAATCCCTCCCTCCCTCCTGGGTTTGAAAACCCCCAGGCGGCAATTCCAAACAAACATTTTTTTAAGGATGGCCCAAGAAGGGCATATGGTATCACATGTACTCTAACAATAATCAATAGAGTATCTATGCACAATCCTATATGCCTATGGTTTTAATTTGGGTTTTTTTCAAAGAGGTAATAAAAGCAAGACTAATCGTGGGTTTCCGACATTGATCAACCTGTAAACATGAACCATAGAGCAAAGAATCTGAATCATTCTGACTATTGCTGGACCTCTTCAGTGTTGGAGGTTAAAACAAATATGTCAGTGATATGATACAATCAATTTGGGTTAAACTGAAACCTATTTAAGGATGTACAACACACCTACCCCAAAAAATTCCTGTTGTTTAATTTTCGTTATTTTTGTATATTTAGTACATGACTATATCTACTGCATGTATGCACATTTTGGACAAAATCGTTCAAGTGGTTTTTGGACAGGAACTTCCAAAAGTTACCCCCCTTTAGTTGTTTACAAGGAGAGAAAATTTTTAATCAATGAACTACTTAACCTTGATTTTCAAAAAAGCCAGGTTAGATATAAATGTCAAATTTCATTGGCTTATTCCTTTAACCATTTAACACAAAAACATAGTCATCTTTTTGATATACATATCATCAAAATAATTTTTAAAGACCTTAAACTGAAAAACTATGAATTATCTAAGCCTTGAAAATTGCGTATTTTTCAAATTCAAAATTTTTTTGTGAAAAAACCTGTCGTTTAATTTTGGTAAAAAACTTTCTTCAGGTAGCTGGTAGTAAAAATTATCTTCATAATTTTTTGTATAATTTTTGTACGACCAGTTTTGATTTAATAGCGGAAAATTACCCCCTCCCCCCTTCTCAATAAATCACGTTCCCTCGCTTCTTTCAGACGGGGGTCGATCACTTTGTTATATGAATCTACAAATACATATTAAAAAAATTAAATTGGAATATTGCTTTTGCTTCAAAAATATATTAACTTACAAATTTAAAAGTTCTCATATGTAAAGCGTATTTAAATGTAGATTTTTAGGCAATTTTTGAATACCCCTATCACCCCCACCCCTTCTTATTTTGCGTCGCAGACCATTAGCGTTTGACGAAACGTCGTTTACAGTGCAAATATACTGGTATTTCGTCATTTGAATCCCGGAGGTATGCATTAGTTTTAAAATTCATGAATGCAGAATAAATATTGACTACTCTTTTTATATGTATCAGGAAAAAATTACTGAAGGATTTGTGTTTAGTCCATATATGTATGCGTTATACATTCCATATCACATGAAACCTGGATACGAATGCAAGTTTTGTTGAACTTGAATATGTTGATTTTTAATTTTATTTCTTTAATTTTATTCATTTAAAAAAAGGTGTATGTTCGACTCTCCCGTGATATAAATTGAATAATTGTAGTTTCTTTCATGTCATTATTTCAAACGAGACAGTATGTGGCCGTCGGGGTACTTCGACATTTGCATCTAGATGTACACCCCTCACGATATATTGTACGCATTTCTTTCAATGTCGTCGCTTCTAAAGTTAAAATGAAAATTCCGTATTCGTCCACATTAACTTCAAAATATCAAACACGAAACTCTTCATCTATTTCAATTTTTATCAAATCGGACTTTGATATTTTTAAAAATCTTACAGGCTACGTTTTGTTTTGACTCGAGGAAATGCGAACCGACATTGTTGACAGAAAGTCAAACGATTTGCGGCAATAGGATATTCATAAATGCAGATAATTTTAGTACAAATGAACAATGCTTTTCAATTCTATACTTACATTGTGTATATGAGGTCTATAGTATTCAATTCTCGGATTTTTCGGGTCTTGCTGTAAATGTATCTGATTCCGTGGAAAACCGTGAATAAAGGGAGGAAAATAAACATCTCCTACATTTTCAGAGTTGTTCCTCTTTGATCAGTAAGGGTCTGAGAACAACATCGATTTTACATTGTAAAAAGTTTTTTGTTTATTTATTGTTGTTTTATTTAATTAAAGAAGAAAAACAATATTTATATCGTAAATGCACAAATTGTAATGAAGACCATTAATCGGAATGCTATATAGCCAATTGTACATAATGAGAATTTCGGCAATGTAAAATAAAATTTTCAGAATAAAAAATATGCTGCGCTGCAAATGATCAAAAATACAATTTATTGTATATGAAATGAAATTAAATAAACATTAAGGGATGGTATTTTATGTACATTAAGGGATGGTATTTTATGTCTTGCTTTTTACGGAGTTTAATCGGGTTAATTAAAAAATACTTATTGATTGAGTATGGTACGCACAATCACAGCCAAGCCCCATATCCCAATTTTCTTTCATGATTGATATACATCGGGATCGTTTTACTCGTCGTTTTGACGCTTTATTTTTGACGTTAAATTTGACGTCACGTCAAACGTTCAATTGAAATCGCAAGAGTTATCTCCCCCAGTGTGTTGTACGTCTTTAAGGTAAGAAACAAAAGATTTACAGTTAAAGGGAGTCAAAAATGTCTAAAAACTTGCAACAGACGGAGAGTTCAATTCATTGTGTTTTGATTGAAACAAGTGGTCACAAGTGGTCAAAAAAAAGACAAGATTTCCAGAATAACATTGTGTGGCACTGATCTAAGATTGGAAAGAGACTCAGGCTCTGTTCTAAAAATTTTAAGTCTCAATGAATCTAGCTGAGATTAGGTACACAGCATACACTTTCACACTGCACTGGTTGCAAAAAATACTGTAATATTCTCTGCTGGATTAAACAATTTATTTAAGTTGATATCTTGTACTACTTTACTATTCCGTATTAGGGTTAACTTTTAGTACATAAATTGATAACAAGTGTCTGCTAGATTTTGCTAGAGAAAATTCAAACGTTCAGTACCTCTTCATCAACAAACTTCTGTGAATAATCTAAAGCTATCAGCTCGTCAACCAAAACGTTGATGTCAGTTTTAGACGAGACATCATCTCTATGCGTTATTTTAAGTAGTCTTTTTAGGCAGTTTTTAAATGTAACTTTTTCACCATGGTGAGAGTTTTCCATCTTTCTAAATTTTCTCCTGTGTACTACGATCCCGATGTATAAAATAAAATTAAAGGGAGTACTCATTATTTTCATTTAGTTTTAAGGGCGTTGTCTTTAAAACCTTTTATGCATCATTTATTTAATACAAATAATTTTTTTCCATATGTTTTACTTTCAAGTGTATAAATCATCAAGATGCTGTTAAATAGATATTCTTTCTCCACGGATCATTTGAAAATAATAACTACCCCATTGAAGATGGCAGCCCCCATGACATTGCCCTGGTTGTTTTACAGCCGAAGAGGAAAGCCTATCAGCTGTATAGTTTACAGACTATTGTCAACGAATTCATCTACACAAAAAGAAAATAAAACACATGGAGAAGCTAAAAAGACACATTTTGGATTTCAAAGTGTCGCAGAAGATGAGAAGGAAGAAAGAGGCAAGTAGAAAGGGAGGGTATAATTATAACATTGCCTAGCTGCAGAACTGTATAAGCTCTCTGAAAAAAAAATATTGACAGACCGGAGAGCTACAGTGCTACTCATGTACCCATTGAAAATATGTATATTCACTGGATCCATATATTCATTTAATTTTGGTAAAGGGTTCAATAATTCTTAGCAGGATCTTGAGAATCTGTGGACCAGTAAAGTAAAGTCTATCCAATTCTCATAATCATGCCAAAAACTTGATGTCCATAAGTGAAAAAGAAAAGTTTTTGGGTAGACTTTACTTAACCGGTCCCCAGATCCTCAAGATCCTCGCACTCATTTACAGTTGAGTGACGTAAATGTTATGTAATAGTCTATTAGACTATTACATAACATTTACGTCACTCAACTGATAAGGGTTAAACTTGCACACTATTCGACTGATTAGGGTTAGTCTCGTACCCACCTGAGAGATTAGGATTAGTCCTTGCACAAGTATTCGACTGATTAGGGTTAGTCTCGCATCCATCCGAGAGATAATTAAGGGTTAGTCCTCGCACATTATTCGACAGATTAGGGATAGTCTAGCATCTGCCCATGAGATTTCGTTTAAACATCTTATTCCTTGCATACCATCCGAGATATTAGGGTTAGTGATTCGTTCTTTTAGATAATTTAGGAAATTCAGTTGCTTCTGTAATTTTTGCAAGATCATAATTCAGCTTCAACAGCATTTCATTGGTTTGTTTACATGAAGAATGGCTAAGTCTGAAAGAAAGGACAGTAAGCATGCACCGCATGCACTTCATTCAGTGAGAATTATTCTTTATCAATTTTTCCGTGAATAAACAATATTTATTAATCTTTTCAGAGAACGAGGTTAAAAGTTTTAAACTAAACTTTTGGGGTCAAAAAGGCCAAAAACTTCGTATTTTTTATTTTTTTTGATCGCTCACGTGATCTTATATATACTGAAGTCACCTTTAGTGACACTTCATTTTAGCACTTTTTCTGGGAACCGGTAAAGTAAAGTTGTTCCAGTTTTTTAAGACTGCATGCATTAATTTTGATGGTTTTGGTCCCATCCCTCAGGAGGGCAGAGACCATGAAATTCACAATACCGTATTTTGATCCTTTTCTTAGCTTGTAAATGCTATTTACAAATATTGGCTAATATCAGTTTTAGAGAAGAATCTAAAAATGTTCAAAAGTCAATGGAAGAAAGTCAACACATTGTGCATGATGACAGAGAAAAATAAATACCCAGTATAGCAATAGATCCCATTTGTGACCATGTTGACTTATAAAGAAATTGAAATTGTAAAATATTTACTTCATTGCAGTGTACAAAGTTTTTAAGAATGTTGCCAGCAAGTATGACTTAATGAATGATTCTATGAGCTTCGGTATACACAGACTATGGAAGGATCACTTCATAAACAGAATGGCTCCTGTGGCAGGGACCAAGTTATTAGATGTTGCTGGAGGGACAGGTATGGATTGTGATTCTTAAAAATAGTGTGTATTTGTTTATCATGTAAAGTATTAAAGAAAAAGCATAGCTTAACTGGGGACTAAAGCAACATATAGCTAAGGTATTTTTTTAAAATTAATTTTAAATTCCTTTTTGTCTATGTTATTAGCTCAACGGAAGTAAAGGTTCATGTGGGCTTTTCTGAACAAAGTTCATTTTTAGTCATCTGGCTTTTAGTTTTATCCTTTGGTTAAGATGAGTAAATTTTATAAAAGAAATTTTACTCCTGCAGCTTTTTCCAAGGGGAGATAATAAAGAAAAGGCAAATATCTTAATTTTACTTTATACAGTGAAACTCGGTTATAGCGAAGTCCTAGGGACCTGTGAATTTGATTCGCTATGTCCATGATTTGTTATATCCATATAACGAATTCCTTTAACTATATATAGCAAACTTGCAATATGCATGTTTTTCTTCAAGTATTATGCTTGTTTTGTTTTGCTCATGGAACAGCAGGCCAATGTGACTCAAGTAAACATTGTTATTCTCACATGGGCCTTTGTTACATGCATCAAAATATTTTAAATCTCATCAGTTTCATATTCATTTACATGTATTTCAAATAATCTGGAACTATTTCTACAACAAAAATTTTGTAGGTGATATTGCATTTCGATTTCTCAAGTACATACAGTCCCAAAATGAAAAACCAGTGGTGACAGATGAAAATTTTACCATTCCTACAAGTATAAATGCAGGAGCTTTTTCCATTCCCAGTGATTTTGCTGAGGAGGATGAACACATTGTAGATTTATCAGATTATAAAGAGGACACATCTCATGTGACAGTGTGTGATATCAACCAAGAAATGCTTAATGTCGGCAAAGCTCGGGCTGAAGAGGCAGGAATCACGTCTGGTAAACATTACAATCTTTGCAAGCATCATAATTTTTTTTAATGCTCTCAGCATCAAACATTGTGAACATTTGGTATACTTCAGTAACTACCTATTTACTACATCACTGAAGTAGATCATCCTATTTACAGTAATGCATGCTTGTAATGAAGTCCCAGGAACTAATCAGGAACAATTTTTCTTTGTTTCAAATGTAATTTGTTATATCTGTTAAGATCACAATATATTTTAGAGGCACAGGAAATATAAATCACTTTGCTGTAAACGTAAATTAATTATATAAAAAGCCTGTTGCTTTAAGCATGTTTTACTGTACATGTATTTCTCTTTTTGGGGGGAGGGGTGGTCACTTTAAAGTAGTATGAGCTGCAACTTTGATGTCGGAATTTTTTGTTGTAAAATTGTAAATAATTATTTCCAATGACAGAAAAAATAACGTTATAAACTTGTGTCTTTCATATTTGCGATGGAAGAACAATTTTTATAAGCTTTGATTGAATCAAAATTGCATTATTGTCGTCCTGTACAATAACGATTTCTTATATAAAAACGTATATTGGATTGTATACAGAAGTCTTTGTTCTGCTTAAATTTAGTCTAGTTGATCATAAAGGTTTAAGTTACATGTACATTCAAATTTATCATAATAACACATTTTTACAGCAAAATAAAATTTCCAAAAATGCAACTTATATTGCTATAATATGTTTTACTTGCTGCAACAAATTTTATTTTCTTTCTTGTAAGCATTACCTGAATTTTTGTTTCATTATAAATTATGAATAGGTATTTCTTGGGTTCAAGGAAATGCAGAGAGTTTACCTTTTGAAGACAATACTTTTGACGCGTATTCAATAGCATATGGAATCCGCAACTGTACCCACATTGACAAAGTAAGGGCATTTTTAGCTTTAATGGTCAGAGACAACAAGTAGACAGTACACTAAGATACTTAATTCTATTTATTGTTTTTTCATTTTGAGGAACAGTGTTGCCATGGTTACTAAAAACATAAATTTCTGTAAAATACTTTCAAAATTCTATTCCTCCTACAGTTTTTGGAATTTCAAAATAACTTGGCACACAAGTTAACAACACAAAGATACATACATGTGTAATTCTGTTTACCATTTTTTGATTTCAATGAGCAATGTTGCCATGGTTTCTAAATGTAGAAATTTCTGTGAAATATTTTCAAAATACTACTCCTCATACAAATTTGGTCAGATTACAATATAACATGGAAAACAGACTACGCAAAGAATCATGAATCTATTGAAGGCTTTGGACCTCGTTACTTAGACTGAACAACTGTTTGATTTTAAACCTTAGGTTCTAACAGAGGCATATAGGGTACTGAAACCCGGAGGACGATTTATGTGTTTGGAATTTAGTCAAGTTAATAATTTAATTTTACGAAGGTATGTATACAAAATTTTCATATTCTAAAAGCAAAGAATACTAAATTACATATACATGAAATAATAGGTTTACAAATATTTATCATGGTAAATCAGGATATAAATTTATTGCAGAGTGTATTGTAGATATTGCTGAGCTGAGAGCTCAAATTGCTCAATAATAGAATTTCTGATCACATTTTGTTCAGCATCCACCTCTCTGTAAATTGTCTTATTCTCTCAAAGACCATTGCATGATTTTTAACCAAACATGCCACAAAGAGTGCTTGTTTGAAGGGGATTCAAATGTGTCCAGACAGAGAACCACAGCATCTCTTAACAAGGCCGAGTCTAATTATTTCTGCCCGAGGGATTTTGATAATTTTTTGAAAATTAATTTTTACTGTTATATTTATTGTTTTAAGATTTAAAAATTGAATGTTTACCATCCCAGTTTCTTAGGGAATCATCTCAGAAGTTGTCAAATTTTACTATTGGACCGTATGGGAATTAGTTGGAAGAGTGCCAAATTAACACATTTTTCCCATATTTTTTGTATTTTTGCCCAAGCGATTTCTTTTTCATTCAAGTAGATGAAAGTTATAGTAAAATGTCACCAAACTGGGAATTTAAAAAAAATTGACCATCTAGATTAGTCGAGGAATTTTAAGTTTATTTTTTCGAAGCCCAATACCTCTAAAATTGCCATGTTACGGTATAAATACTTATACCATATGCATATGAATTATCGGTGCATATGATTTTTTCGGTAAAAAATAGCAATGTTTAGATTGCTAGTATGTTTCACTGGATGTTAT